CTTGAAAAATACCCTGAGAAATTAAATATGACCTGAAATATGGAGAGTAAGTAGGTGTTAACTCATTAACTCAARGGTGACCATCTAGGTAGAGCATTCCTACCAGAGGGAATAGTAGATGAAAAGGGTTCATGGTAGAAGGAAGCCTTTGAGAATCGTAAACACAAAACCAACATCAACATTTTTTTAAAAACACACACACACTGTAGCTGGAGCACAGAAAGCTAACGAGATCTTTGTGTGAGACGAGGTTTATAAGGGTCAAATCAGCGCACATCAACTCCTGTCTCTTTAAATCTCAAAGTTAGAAATGAAACTAGACACTCTGATCTGTCTCTACAACCCAGCAGTTCAGAGGAGGAATCTAGTTAAGAGTTTTCTTCCCACTTCCCACTTCTCAGTCTTAAAATATAATTTGGGATTTGGCACACCAGACTGTGTTTATTAAATTATTCTTTTGTGTACCATATATCTTCCATGTCCAGAATTTTAATTGACATTTGCATTCAGTTTCGAAACAATATTTTTTGACACTCACTTTAGATCAGACTCCATGACTCTATGTATTCTGTGCCGACCTACCTTTGTACTCATTGTTAGCCCCCAGCTGCCACAAATTCCCCAGACTTTTCACTTTGATTACTCTTCTGATCATTTAGAATAGGTATGTGTCTCCAACTAACTCCTTCAAGGAGCGTGTGTGATGGTATGATCCGAACCCACTCACAGCATGGAATGGCCAAATGCTGTTGGCTTCACATATGAGGGAGGCACCATGTGGTTGGTTATACAATTTGGCTCGTAACCAGGTTTCTTCAAAACTCTGCAAAATGGTTTCCTTGTCTTTTGACATTTAGCATTATAGAGAAGTCTCAGGTTGGTCTGATTGTTGTTCCTCTGTAAATAACTTCTTTCGTTCAGTTCTGTTTTATTTACAGCCTGAATGCTTATAACATTTTTCTTTCTCTATTAAATATTTAAGTATTTGCAGTGAAGTTTTTGGGTATGGCTCTCTCTTCATTGATGTTGCCTGATGTGATAAAGTGAAGCCTAAAATCTGCATATGCAAAAGGTAGACCTCTTTCTAGATACCATGCAACTTTGAGGTCAAGAGCATTCAGTAAGACCCAGAAGGTCTGGGTTCAATCCCAGCTTTTTCCTTCACTAGGTCTGTGACCTTGAACGAAATCTGAAAAATAAAAAATAAAAACCAAGATGAACAAAATCTCAATTTTTCAGTTTTCCTATTTGTGAAATGGAGCTAACATAGTAGCTGCTTCATAGACACTCGAGAGTCTTAAAAAATTAACAGAGATAAGGTGCAAGGAAGGAAGCCTAGTCCATCCTGAGTACTCTATCAGCACTTCCTAGACCACTTTTTCCCTCCCTCTTTTTTCAGCCTTTATAAAGTTTGCATTAATGATTTGTTTTTGCATATACTGTAATTGTTCTCATTTCATGTAGCTTGAGATTGATCTCCATTCTTTGTGTCTCATGTCTATGCTGTTCTCTTCATAATTTCACCTCTTCAATCTTTTACTCCAAGGATAGAAATACTTTCCCAGTTTCAACTCCATTTCATGATTTCCTTTACTGCAGCATCAGCTCTTCTTACTGCCTCAAAAACTATTTAGATTTTGCTAATCACATATTCATTCTTTGTAATGCTGCTGTGAATGCCTTTTCTTCTAAGGTTATCTATTACATCTCATTTTGTTAACTTTGTAAATTTCTCTCCCTTTAATGTCTTCCTCTCTCAGAATACAATATTTCCTGGAATGCTAACCGATTTCTACACTTTCCCCCTGTTTTCTGTAGTTCATATGTTCAAGGTCCTACGGAATGAATTTTCACCATTTATTTTTTCCCTTCTCTTGCTGAACTCTTGATAAGTTTTTAATTGATGGGGTTGTATCTTYCTACTTATTCAAAGAGAAGCAGAGATCCATACTCAATCAGTCTCTACCAAGGGTCAGGGTGTGTGCATTTCCTGTGGCTTCATTCACTTTCTATTTCTTTGCAAGTCAAACTTCCTCCTAACTGCAGCCAGAGGTTAAATTAGGGTTGCCAGATTTAGCAAATACAGGATGCCCAGTCAAACTTGAATTTTGTATAAACAATGGGTTTTTTAGTATAAGTATGTTCCAAATATGGTATGAGAATTTAGGCTATTTTAAAACGTAATGGGGCTCCTTGCGTGTTACCTGTCAAGCCTTGATTGGATTGACAAGTATCAAGCCCAGCCAGGACCCTCCATGCTGCATGCTGTTGCCTGGTGCAGATCTGTTGAGGGGAGTCCCTTTTCTTTTCCGACCATTACTTCTCTGTAAGGTTGTGGTGCTCCGGATGCCCTGATTTTCCTCTTTGCTCTCCTCACCACATTGTTGGAAGAGACACTATTTCCTAGGGTATTAAGTGCCCTTGTCCTTCCTCCTACTACTTCCTTTTCACTACCTTGGGAAACTTCCTGTTCTCTGGAAAATCAGTTTCCAAAAGGATGGAGTAAAATAAATAAATACTTACTGAATGCTTACTGAGTTTCAGGCATTGGGCCTGGTGCTTTGCATGAATTAGCACTTCTAATTTTGTTTTCCTGGCTAATCTTTGAGGCAGGTACTATATGCATCTCATTTTGGAGATTATGAAAATAAGGCTTAGAAAAGTTAATAGCTTGACCAAACCATAAGACAGTAACATGGGGTTTCACTTGTCTGTGAATACAAGTGTTTAACTTCTACATGATCCATCTCCGCATCTCTGGGCAGGGAGGCAGATTGTGTAATGGACAATGTGACATTTTGCCTTCTTTCTGTCTTTCTGTGAGGTCACCCAGGAATGGTCTGCCAATTTCCCTCTCCTCATCCAGATCCAAAAGCTGTTGTATGAGTAAAATTTCTATGAAATTCCAGAAATATACTGCCCATAATTTTTACTTATTGGTTCATTTTTGTTGAGTCTTCGTCTACTCTATTTTTCATGAGGTTTATAGTAAGCATTTGGGATACTGTAGGTTAAAACTGGTAACCAGTTTCCATTTTAATTTGGAGAAAACAATTTGTTCTTTGACTTTCCCATTTCTTAGATGACAAATTCTACTTTTAGAACTTTTCCAAAAGCTATTTTCAAATCTAGACCTTATGACTATATCCAGTGTACTTACACAGCTACTTTTCCCTATTCTTTACCAAATCCACTTTGGTATCAATGTTTTCCTTCTTGTCCCCAATTAAGGCTGAAATTTTTCTATTCTCTGTTGATCCCCTTAACCTTTTAGAAGGTGATGTTGTCAAAGACACTTACAAATAAATATAATGCAGTGGATTTTTTTTTTTTTTTAATGAAGAGTCTTAGAGGACATGGGCAATGATCTAAGTTCTTGAGTCCTGGGTCAGCTTTGTGTACATTTCAAGGATCATCATGGATTTCCTCCCTCTGATCAGGTGGTTGGTGCTATAATACTTTGATAATATCACATTAATCTCACTGTCCTTTCATCTTTCATTTCACCCTACTTCAGACTCAAGATTACCTTACAAGTCATTATTGTCCAAACGGACCCTACTACTTCATTTCCCCTCCCATGTTTTCTGTATGTATTTTTCTTTTAAATGTATTGAACTTTCAGTTATCATTCTTCACCCTTGAGCCCACCCAGCCATATTGCACTGATACCTATGATATTTGATTTGATAATTTTACACTTACTTTCTTCCCTTCACTGAACCCTGTCCTGAACCTGTTGTCGTGTACCCATGGAGGGTGGGATGGCTGTGAGATTTGTTCCTGAATATATTTTTATCTGAGAGTTCCTGTGATACTTCACACCATGTTACTTCTTTCTGTCAAATCTATTGTCCTCTGTGACATCTGCTTTTGCAGTTTTATCTGGGATTTCCTTTTCTCTCCCTAAAAATCAGCAGCTCAGGCCAGGGATTCCTTTGCCAAACACATTCTTTCCAATCTTTGTGAAGTTCCTTCGGGTCTGTAGCAATCCTCCTTCCACTGACTGGACTGGTGAGTGTTTTTAAAACTTGGAAAATAAACTGCTGTATGACTTCCTTGGCTCTCCCAGGTTGAGGTCATATGTAAAGATCTCATGTTACTTGTGACCTTGGTCTCACCCTGAAAACATCCACTCTATGCCTTTGAGTTAAGGAGCCCGTTATACACCATTTTGCTATGGGACAAAAAAGAAAACAGCTGCCTAAGAGAGCTGGAAAGAAAGAGAGAACAAATCAAGACAAAGTAAGTTCAGAAAAACTACCTTATAATGCCACGTCTACCTCTGTACTCATCAAAAGAGTCAATGTCTCTATTTTTGACCTTTTTCCATCTTACCCATATAATGCCAGGGGGTTATTGTATAATCCTAATTAAATTCAGTCAAAATTTATTGTGTTCTCATGTTTCCACAAAAATTTTATGGTATTTTGAGGTAAATGCATCTCAAGTTCATTACGTAGATATGCCACAATTGACTCAAATATTTTCCCTACATACCACATACACAGAGGAGACTTAACATTTTTTATGTTTTATTCTCTTGATGAAAAGAACTGTTTTTTCCTTGGGAGTGGCTCCTTGAGAAGTATTTTCAGACCTGAAATTATACAGYCATTGATCTTTTTAAAAGAGTATTTCCAAATTACCTTTCTGAAAGCGTTACATCAATTCATCCTGCCATCAATAGTCGCCATCTCAAGGTTTGTCTCTGCCACTTAATGTGGGTTTGTGTTTTGTTTGTTTTTCTTCTAATTTTTTTATTAGTGAATTATAGTTTTACGTAATAGTAGGATTCATTTTGACATAGTCATAAATGCACCCTTTCAGTCTCCAATACTTCCTCTTTCCATCTCCTCCTGATCCTTTTCCTCTTCTCTACTGGTCTTCCTTGTACTTATGTATTTATTTTTATTGGTGCATTATAGTTGTATGTAAAAGTGGAAGGTATCATGGTGTAGTCATACATGCATATAGCATAATTTGGTTATTAGGTTTGTGAAAATATTGAATGCTGCATGAATTTGCATGTTATCCTCTCTCAGGGGCCATGCTAATCTTTTCTGTAAATCCCAATTTTAGTATATGTGCTACCAAAGTGAGAACTCTATATTAATGTTTTACTAATTCAATATGAGAAAGTGGTATGGCATCATTCAAATGTAACTCTTTAATCGGATTTCTCTCCTGACCAGAGAGCTGGGAAGGGTTCTCTGACATCAACCCTGTGCCAGGACAGAAGGTCAAAATGCCTGTGTACCATGGTAAGGCAGACACTTGCACACAGAGTCAGTAATGGGTGGAAATTGGTTCAAGCATTCTGAAAAGCGATTTATCAAGGCACACAAAATACTATAAAAATATCTTCTCATCTTTGTCTGGAAATTAATTTTCAGTGAATCTCATCTGAAATGTACAGCATTATTTACAGTATTAAAAATTTGAAAAACCCAGGTGTCCAGCAGAAAGAGTATTATTGAGTGAGCCATGATACTGACTCAGAAAGAAAACTAAGAAAGTTCCTTGTCATGCTTGGAAAGAATATTTTAATGACATAGTAAATGGGGGAGGGAGAAAAATAAGATAACATTTTAGGTGTAATATGATCTCCATATGTAGAACATGTTCAAAGGAAAGTTTAGAAAGCAATATGTCAAAATAGTAATAAAAAGTTGCCAGAGTGGTAAGCTTATGATTTATATTTATCCTGCCTTTTAACATTTTCTAAATTACTCAAAATGCCAATCAATTTTATCAACAATCAAAAAGTACAAAAAAGAGAGAGAGAGAGAAAAGACCCTTCAGTATCAAAATACCAATATACTTCTATGGAATTGGAAGCAAACAGCATTAGAGTCAGTCTAAGCTTAGCACTTCCTCGCCCTCCATCAACCTTGATTCCACTGTGTTAACTGTTGCTTCTCTAGCCTCTCCACTTGGCAAAAGCCTCTTTAGGAACGCAGATGCTCTCTTCCTCATTTGTAGTTTCTATCTCCTACTCAATCCAGTGTCTACTAAAGTTGCTCACAAAGAAATTAATGTTTACTTTTCATGTATTTATTTATACATTCAATCAATCATTCAGAAACACTTATTTACTAACACATGGTGTCCCAGGCACTGTAATCCAGGGAAACAAATATAAACAAGGTAGGATTTCTCCCCTTSGAGAGTTTGAGTAAAATCTAAAGGGAGTACTAATCAGTTTCAGGAAGGAGATGATAGCAAAGAGTCATTTCTTCAGTCAGCCACGGCTGTAGTTACTAGAATGTCAGGTTCCATCCCCTCCCACTTGATATTAGAAGACTATCACAAATACCCCTTGATAATTTTATTCATACCTGCATCACCCCTCCTGCTGCTGAGGCTGGGGCCCTGTTGTTGGATACTCCAGTATCCCCTAACACTGCCTTCTCTGTCATGACCATACCCTTGCACCCCACTTCTAGGCTTGGTTTCTGCAACAAGCCAAAACTGTGATGTTTGCACCAGATGCTATTTCTTTACTCTGCATCTATCCTTGTGTTTTCTTTTCTTTCTTTCTTTTTTTTTTCATTTTATCCCACAAACCCAGGAAAACCTAGAACCCTAGAAATTTGTGGAGTTGCTCACCATCTGCCTTCAGGCTTTGAATCATCCTCTCTAAGTCTGTGTCCTCCATGGAAGTGGAGAATTTATTCACAAAGCTTTGTCCCACCAGGCAGTGAGATCTTCTTCCTATCGTCCATCTCTCCTCTATTGAAGCAATTTCTCTCTGCCTCTCTCTTCTACTCTCAAAAGACGCCCATTTGAGAGAATGCCTATTTCTATTTCTCTGTGTTCACATTTCAGGGAAACCCATCATATAGAGGCGGGAAACCTCCAACATAAGTGATGGAAATGAGGAGTCTCAAGAGTAAAGGAGGAGCATGGCATGATGTCCCCTGGAGAGAAAAGTCTCCATAGTAATTTTTTTTCCAATTAGCTTATTCCCATCTGCCTGCTCCTTTTAATTTAACATAAAGCCCAACAAATGTGTTCCTCCATAAACGGAGACTCTCATTTACACCAACAGGAAAATTAAAATATATAACCTCATCTGTTTTGATTTGAGTTCTTTTCTTCCCCCTCTCCCCCCTCTCCAACTTCATAGATTCCTAAGATTCTGGATGAGAAAGAGCTTCAAAGCCAATAAGGTACCTCATTATATCACTGAAATTCTTCTGCAACATCTCACCAAATTGTCCTTCACTTTTGTTTGTACACTTCCTGAAAGGGGGACCTCATCACTTTATTGGTCAATAGCTTAAAAGTTAGAATGTTTTTATTCCCAGTAGTAATAGTTGTTTCTCCTGATGCTTTCTTGGCCCCAATTCAAGCTTTCAACATGACACCGTACAAATCTAATTCTTCATTCATATGGAATTCCTTCCAGTGTTTCCATTCTTCCAATTTGTGCTTCATTCCTTGTTTTATTTTTTAAACTCTCTTATTAGAACACTGTGGAAACAAAACAAAACAAAAATACACATAATCTAATTTTCTTAGCATTGTTAGGAGATAGCAGAAATAAGTTTTTGTAGATAAATTCATTCATTTTGTATAATAAACATTTACCAACTATTCTCATTGTTCTGGGCCTCTTGCAAAAATCTAGGGATGCCAGTGAATGAGGTTGACTCTTTGTATTCAGAAGGCTCGAAATCTTATGGTTAAGAGTATGTATCCCAGGGCTGGGGTTGTAGCTCAGTGGTAGAGTGCTTGCCTCACACAGGTGAGGCACTGGGTTCAATCTTTAGTACCACATAAAAAACAAATAAACAAAATAAAGTTACTGTGTCCATCTAAATATATATATATATATATATATATATACACACACACACACACACACACATACACACACACACACATACACACACACACACACACACACACACACACACACACACACACCAGTATGTATTCCAGCATTAGAGCCTTCGGTTTTAATTCTTGGTAGTCACCTGGTCTTCAATTTATCAAGTGAAATTTAAATAATAATAGTACCAGTTGGCCAGATTGTGAGAATTAAATTAGACAATCCATGTAGAGTTCATTAAAAGGTCGATAAATCCTGGCCATCATTTTTTGGGAGGGGTCCTGTGAGAAAGAGAGAGGTCAGTTTCAAGGCAGTGGGTAGATTGGGCAACAAAGAGAATGTGCTCTGGCAGCACAAAGGGGCCATCTAACCAAGACCTGGTGAAGGACAGGAAGACCAAGTGGCATTTAGCTAAATCTAAAAAGATGGAGGAATTTGATGAGTGAAGATATTACAGGAAGATATATCAGCCTATGCAAATGTGTGGATCTGTAGGAGCCCACAGAGATTCAGAGAACTACAAAATACCTAGGCAGTGGAGCACATGTGACTGTGGCAACAGAGGAGATGGAGTTGTTTCCAGAAGTCATAAAACTGAAAATCTTGTAAGCCAGGCTAGGAGATGAACTCTGTCCTATGGTCATGAGAAGCCAAGGACAGATTTCATGTGAAATAATCACGTCTGCATTTTCAGATCACTCTGGAAGATGGTGAACTGGAGAGAGGCAGCCCTGGAGGAACAAGGGATCTCTCAGCAGGCAGGTTAGGCTCACTCCTAGGTTGCCAATAATGCAGGGGTGAATGAGCAAGTGTCAACTGCATGATTTATCCAGGATTTTACAAGCAGTGAAACGGAGAAGAAAGTCCTTTCATTTCATTATTAGTATATTCATAAGCTTTGTGTTTTATAGTTTGGTATTATTTTGGTTTTGATTTATAGACAGCAACAAGAAGGCTGCAGCACCCAGAGCACTTAAAGGGCTTAATCCAGCTGCGAGTTGAAGGAAAAAAAAATTGTTAGAACAAATGAGAAATAAAAAGGACCAGAATTAAGGCAACAGCACTGAAGATAAAGAGAAGTGGCAAGATTCAAGGAGATTACATTCACAGTTGAATTCTTTTTTTTTTTTTTTTTAAAAAGGGCAGCAAAGAGACTGGTTTTTTTTTTCAGCCCAAAGTGTCTCCCTGACAGTGACAGTGCATGACAGCCTAATTGCCCTGAATAAATTAAATTCCAATGTCACAAATGTTTTCTACACCCGACTTTATAAATTCCCAAAAATTAGTTGACCAAGATATTCTCTAAATCCTAATTTATTCATTTTTATTCATTTACTTAACAGATATCACTAAACTTTACCATGAACTGCAAAATGTGTTAGTTAAAATCTTGGATATCCAGGGAATAAGAGAAATATTCCCCGGTCTTAAGAAGTTTACAGCTCACCAAAGTGAATAGATGTTGGAAAACAAAAACAAAACCAAAACTCATCATTTTAAGCATATTTTGGCTTGGCGGGGTGGGGGGCAGTTCTGGGGATTGAACTCAGGGACACTCAACCACTGAGCCACATCCCCATCCCTATTTTGTATTTTATTTAGACACAGGGTCTCATGAAGTTGCTTAGTGCCTTGCTTTTGCTGAGGCTGGCTTTGAATTTGCAACCCTCTTGCCTCAGCCTCCCCAGTCTCTGGGATTACAGGCATGTGCCACCATTTGTGGCTTTAATAGAAACTACCTTTTTGACACTTACTTCTTCAAAAAAATTTTACATGTTGTATGAACATTATGTTGCTTGATAACCACCTTTTTATAAGTCCAGTGGACAGTCTTCCGTTAGTAACTTACTTGAAATCTCAGTAGCATTCAATACTTTTGTCTTCTGGAATTTTCTTTTCCTTAGCTTCTGTGATAGCACCATCTCCTTTTCACTCTTTTGCTTCTGCTTCTTAGTTTCCTTCATGTTGAGGTCCTTTGAATCTTTATCTTATGTTCTATTTTCCTAAGTGAGCTCATTCATTCATAGGCTTTGCATGTCCTCTGAATTTGAATCTTCCAGACTCAAATTTTCAGCCCCAATTTCTTGTAAGCTACAGATTCACATGACTCAGTCAATTACTTAATACATCTGCTGTGATGCCTCATGAGCATCTTAGCTATGACATGTCCAAGACCCAATTATTGGGGTCCCAATTCTTCCTTTCCCCAAATGTGCCTCTTTTCCAGTGTTCTCCGTCTCATTACATGGAATAATCTACTCACTTG